ATATATGTAGTTGTGAGATGAATAGCATATCCATTAAGGAACACCTTCAACTGGCTATTATTGGTTGTGCGACTGTAGCCGCCAAATATGAAGAAGTCCAGCAGTGGTCGGTTCTGGAATATGCGAAATATTGTTACAGCGAACACGTGCATGTACTGCGCGCAGAAAAGGACGTTAGCACTGTTTTAAATTTTTTTCATCAAAGGAAAGATTACACGAGATCGTAACCTTTGAGGTTTAGCGTGTGGTGGGAGGCGACTAATCTGAAATCTGTTTTCCGACCCTTACTAAAATCATGACCTGCCAATTCGTCCCCACATATTGGCGGATGCTGCAATTCAAAGGCATAGGAAGTTACAAAAGCGACAAATCAAGGGTTTATTTCAAAACGAGACATGAAGTTTGTGAAAAAAACTTCTTTTCATGGTTTTTTTTAGGACCATTTCAGATTTTGAAGGATCAATTCATCAAATAATATGAAGCAAAAAACCTGAATTTTTTTTCAAACCTTAGTGTATCCTGACCTTTTGTTTAAGTTCAAACTAATGTTGCAACTAGTGAGCTGCAAAGAGAAGAAGCCTACAAACTTTATTCAAAAACGAGTTGATAAAGTCTCACCATTACGCAGTGAGTTACTGAAACGCTGGAAAAGAACTCTAATTTGCTTCGAATTTTTTACATCTCTCAGAAAATGAGTTTTTTTTTTTCACAGGTGCTACGAACACTGAACTTTGAAATCACTGGGCCACATTCCATTAGTTTCATCCAACGTTACACCCAGTATTTCAAAATCAACCTAAATCGACTGGCCAAAAAAATATGTGAAGCTGCAATATACGACTACAACACCTGTCATACAAAGCCGTCTGAGATCGCCGTTGTCTGTGTTTGCCTTGCCGCTGCATTGGAAAAAGTCGAGATCCCGGAGAAACTATACAAAATAATCAAGTAAAACTTCTCATAAATTTCTATGCTGAAGCGTGCGAGAGTTAATTACAGCAATGCTGTCGCTCACAATAATGTCTTTTATTAATGTCTGTCCAGTTTTTTACAGAAAAAGAACGCCAGGAAGCTTTGACGCTACTCAGAAAAAATAGTATCCCTGTTGCCAGTTTGGCGCTTCATTCCTCTTCAAAATGACAACAGAGTTCCCTCATGTTGGGATGTGACACACTGTAGCAGACTGTCCTAAAATTTGTCGTTTTTTATGCGTTTTTTGCAGCAATGCAATGCGAAAAACGCATATTGACGAGAGGTTGTCTG